TTGAGTTTTTCGTTGAGACCATTTTCTTACGTATAGATGGATTTAGTGATCGTGAAGTTGAAGGAATTTTAATGGATTTGTTTCGAATAAATCTTTTCTTTTATAGTGAAATCGGTCGTGTATCGGGATAATTTTAATCAAAATGATTCTGTCTGGGGATGCACCGGTTCCAGTTTTAGAACTGGTACCGGAGGAATCGTTTGGAACCGGAACCAATTGGAACCGATCGAAAATCGAAACCGGAACTGACTAAAATCGATCGGAACCGACACCGGAATCGACTGGAGCTGAGATCGGAATCAGTCGGAATCGATCATCATTAGATTTTTCACTACCCAGGTCGAGAAGTACGGGTCGGTTCGTGCAGAACGGTCGAAAATGGTGCCTTTCTTGCGAATTCTCGCCGGAAATTCACGGAATACTGGTTCAGAAATCATCGACCTGGGTTTGCCGATTTCTCTGTGCATGGTGTCAACCGATTTTGGTTCTACTCAGTTCTCACTGGTTCTAGTCGGTTTCGATTCCGATCGGTTCTTATCGGTTCCAGTCGGTTCCGGTGTCGGTTCCAACCAGTTCCGTTGGTTTCGGTTATTTGGAACCAGTCAAAACCGGAACCAGTGCATCCCTAATTATCGTATCTGTTTTTAGAACGGATTATCGAGTATATATTGGTATGATAAGATTTCTGTCACTTCCGTTATATGGACATCTCCTAGCTATTTAAGTGTCGTAATTTCAATCGTTTTTGGCTTGATTAGACTGTCTTTTCTATACCTCATTTTTGTTGCTCCATTGTCTGCCTTACATTAGGAAGGAAGTGTGTGAATTGGGCTGTTGAAGCATATTACGCCTGTGTGCTATCATTTTTGTGTTGCCTGGATTTTTCATTCGGAAATACAGGATGAAAAATGTTTTCAAGACTTGTCGTGTTCAAAAGAGGATGTGAGTATGGGTGCGGGTGTAGATATGGGTATGGGTGAGGATGTGAGTACGGATGGGGATGCGGTTGCGTGTATGGGTGTATGTGTGGTGTGAATGTGGGTGTCTATGATGTCCTGTCACGCCTCACACCTACATCTTTCGACGAAAGACTTTTCTCTTCAGAAATCATCATAAAGTAACAGTGAAAAATATTCAGTATAAAAAGTTGAAAAGCAACTCGAATTGCACCGAACTAAATTTATAAAATAGATTTGATAAGTTTGATTGGAACATTTTACGAATGATGATCTTTATCAGTAACGAAATTACATACGCAAAGCATTGTAACTGGTGTGTAGACATTAAGCACATGAAAATTTGAGGACAACTTCAAATCCTAAATATGATGTGATGCGGCAGAATGTCATTTTTAAAACGACATAAACAATTTATTGATTTGAGATTGGTGACAAACTCCGACGGTTGTTTTTTGTTAGTAATCATCGACAGGAAAATGCAATAATATTTATTTGAAGGAAAAACATTCAAAACGATATATTTTTAAATAGGCATACATCTTGAATAGGTAAATCATTTCGAGTGTTTCTTATCAGATTAAATTTTATCGTAAAAATAAATTTATTTGTTGGAAATAATAGATTTCAATTGATGCATTATTGTTAATGAATTAGCTTTAGTTGATACTTCAACAAAAACTGCTCGTTCTAAGAAAATATCAGTTTGACTTATTTTTAATGTATTGACTTGTTCACGACTGTTTTTTTCCATTAATAGGTAATCGATAAACACTTCCAACTAAGGGAAATATATCTTCAGGTTTGAGTGCATCTTTTTCAGTTTTTATAGTTTGTTTAAATAAATTTATTTCTTTTGCATAATCTTTTATCATTTGTTCAACGCCTTGAATAGTAACATTATTTTCGCAACCAGATTTTTTTTTCATTTGTTCTTCTTTCATAAAAACTCTAATATATTTTATCATATCATCATTTATTGGAATAATTGCATTTGTATGAAAAACTTTTGAAAGTTTTTTATATAAATATCTTCTATTTTGGCTTTTTCATCTTCTAAATCACTAATTCCTTTATCAATATCACTTGATGAGCATAGATTGTTAAGATTGCGAACATTAGTTACATATTCATATGTTATAGGGTGATGCTCTTTTCATGAACAACCACATTTTCTACATTTACCTACAAAACAATTTTAAAATAACAATAGACATAAAGTCAAATCAATTCAAATAATTTATCTCAATTAACAACCTTTATTTATCAATACATGAGTTGTAATATTTAACAGATTCTCATTAATAAATGCTCCTATTCATAGATCGATTGATGTTGGCAAATCTAAAATTCGCTCTAAAATGATCAGTTCAATCCGAGATTGAACGAATTTTAGTATAGTCGCCAATTTGGATATAGATTTATGTGAGATTTGATCAGTTGAACTTTCGTCATAGAATAAATCATCGTTGCTTATACGTTGCTAAAATTTCGTCGCATCGACAAATGTTATGAAGAATATATTTATCCATCATCAATTTCCTGAAAGTTAAAAAGATGAATAATTTTTAAAAAATTGAATAATTATTTGAACAAGTATTGAAACATTTTACAATGGTTAAAAAAGTTTTTGTTTTAAAGATAATAAAAATGATTTAAGATAGTCTTCTCGAAAAAGAACTTTTGTATATTTTTTGCAATTTTTTTTTCTATTTGAAAATTAGTTTAAAAAATTATCTTTGAGAATTTGTTCAGATGTTGTTGTAGAAAGTCTCAATGCTTTTTGTAAATATATCAATCATTTTTCAAATCAATATTCAATTATTTTCTTATTTAATTCTCGGTATTGAATTTTGTTTTTTACTTCTTTTATTCATATTTGTGAATAATGAGACAATGTTATGTTTAAGTTCTCTTATTTTTATCGAAAAAGTTCTTGATAGTTCAATGATGAACATCTCATGATAAAAAATATATAGAGAAAAAATAAAGAAATTTGAAAAAGCTAAATAGAATATGATAAAATGATATTGATCAGACATAGTTCCAAGTTTTTATTTATCAGGAAAAAAAATTCAGTTTCTTTTCTATGAGTCTAATAGTTCATCTTTTTAAACTTTCACAATATATCAAATAATTTAATTGCAGTTTTTGAGTTGTTGCTAGCCTATCTGACTTTTGCAGCACCATATGGAATCTTTCTCGATGTCCTTACACTCCTAAAGAGTTTGTCCGTTTATAGGTAATTTTTTGGTAGAGAACTTTTATGAGTGGTCAACTAAAACACATAAAATGGACACAAAATCTTGTTGTCATATCCTATTTTGTAGAGCTTTTTTTGCTGATCATTTTCATCGATATATGACGATGATAGGATCAAAATATTGGAACATTAAGTTGGTTTGGAAACCTGTCGTAATTCGACGATTTTCAGTATTTCAATTGTAATACCATCGTGTATTGAAAATTTTTTATAAAACTGATTAGCGAAAAAAGTCTATACAAAATGAGACATGTCAAAAAGGTTTTGAATACATTCCATTTTTTTATGGTTGACTACTAAGGCAAAAGTACCTGAGAAAAGGCTAAATTCTTTATTGAAGTAGATCATACTAGGTTTCGTGTATATCAATAAGTTGTGGATTTATGAAGAAAAACCTAGAATACTGCTCTATCATCAGAAAAAAAATCAACACACTTTTTCGAAATATAGTGGTTATATGCAAATTTTTTTCTGTTAGGTTACTTTTGAAATATTCTGTATACATAAATAATCTGAATAGATGAGAAGTTGTTCAAAATTTCGAAAAAAAAATGTCACATTTATGTTGAAATCAAATGTGTCTGCATCAGTCAAATCGATTATTTTGTTGAAAAGTGAAAAAGTTCAAATTATTTGTTAAAAATATTGTGAGAAAACAGTTATTCGAGCGAAAATAATAATCCAATACAAAAAAATCTTTTCAAGAGAATTGACAAGTTGAATGGTTTGTTTTTTGTTGAAACATATAAAAGGCTAGAAGGATAAATGTGGATGAGAATGAAAACAAATCGACGCTCTGATTAAAATTAATTTGAATAAATATAATATACAAGATGTTTATCTTTGATAAACGAATTGATTTGTAAAAGTGAAAATATTTTACCTGTTTTCTGATCTACAGCTTGGCATTCTTTCATGCTTAGATTGATGATAGTGTCTTGTAGAATACTTTTACAATTACATTGTTCATAACATTTCGATGTGTATACGATTTTCGTCTCATTATTAACAGTAATAAGTTGACAATACTTTTCATTAACACGAACTGTTCGTAAATATTCCAATCGCACAATTCGAACGTCAATTTGTAGTAAACATTGAGATTCTATTTCAGAATTTTTAAGAATAATTATTTTCTATATGTTGTTTAGCAAGTTGAATATTTTGTTGAATTAGTCTAACTGTTTCAGCAATTGAACGTGTCAGGTTTAGTATTAATTGTTCAGCTTCATTAAGTGAAAGTATTTTACTAACAGCATGAAGTGAACGTGTAACAATATGACGCATCAAATTTGAATATTCTTTCACATTATGCTCTCAACTCTTTTGATAACTTATTATTTGTTCATTAGACTATGTTTGAATATCATATTATTGTTTTTAGTGGAATCTTTCCTCTTATTTTAATCATCAGAAATTCATTGTATCATTGATTAAAAAACTTTCTATAATCATATTTTCGAAAATGAGATAAAATTCTTCTGTAGTCTTACTTTTAAATGATCAGATGTATACATCGAAAAAAGTTTCACAATCTAATTATTTACTGTTTAATCTTTGATAGTCATATATTTACTTATTAATATCTTGTTTTAACTTATTTGGATTATGATTGTATATGCCTTTATTCAAACAAATAACGCTCGTCATTGCGATTTGCTTGATCTTCGACTGAATGTTTAACTATTTTCGTATTATATACTACTTTACAAGCCCAATCGATATTAACATGCGATGTAAAAGTAATGGCATAAAATTTCGACCCTTATATTTCTTCATAGACACAGTCTTGGAAGAAAAACGTTTTTTATCAATCGACAGGAAATTTTCTTCTCTTTCGAAATGTATATAATTTGTTTTTGTCACACATTCATAAACGAAATGGAAAGCTAAGAATGAGAAAATCTTGGTCAAGAAATTTTCGAATTTTTCGTCGATTTATCAGAAAAAATCCTGAAAATCAACTAAAATATAGTGTTAGGATAATAGGGGATATATTGGTATCTACTATCTATTAATGAATGACAACAAAAATTTCATTTTTTATTATAAAAATCATGAAAAACAAACCACCTTTATTTAACAACGGTGTACAATCAATCATGCTACATGGAAAGCAGATTCTTTCGAACATCTTGAAACATAGTCTGCAATATAATTTTATTAAATTGTTTGCCCCTTTGTTTGATACTACAAGCCAATAAATCTAAATTTTTGGCTTTCCAATTATTCTCATATACTTTTTGTACCAAAAAAGCCCATACTGTTTCAATCGATATTTCAGTTGATGTTCAGGATTTCACTAATAAATCGATGAAATAATCAAAACTTTTTTGATCAAGAATTTTTCTTTCTTAGCTTCCCATTTCGTTTATGAATATGTGACAAAAACAAATTATATACAGTTCAAAAGAGCGAAAAATTTCCTATCAGCTGATCAAAAAAAATTATCATTCCAACACGTTTAAAGGAGAGATATAATGGTCGACATTTTGTGCCATTACTTTTGTATCGCATGTTATTATCACATGTATGCATATGGGTGTGTGTGGCTTTGACAGTGGGTACACATGTTGGTATCTTTGCCGACGAGGATGTCGATGTACTGCTTTTCTTGAAAGATTCAATCAACCACATTCATACTCACGCTTTACACCAACACATCCATGGTCAGCATGAGATACTCCTCAGTTCGGGCTCCCCCGCTTCGGAAAACTTGACTGGATAAGAGTTAGAAATCAGACTGATGTTTCAGAGATAGATGCGAACATGTGACTATACATGTGATTGGAAACAAGCATGCAAACTTATTTTATTTGGTAAGACCTTCTGTTTAACCGCGGGAATAAAATTTTGCAGCGATTTAACTAACATTCATATTACTATATAATGGAACTGGTTTCTTTCAAGCAAGGCTTGGCAATAATTGGAAATAGGTTCATCAATAAGAAAGCCTAGTCGAACGTTCTTTTTCACATACACAAATCTCTTCAAATTGTTGAGTAACACAGAGCAAATCTTGATGTCTGTCCATGTTAAATACATAAAACAAAGAGAAGTTTGATTAGGCAAGGATGAGTATTGTTTATTTGTATTTTTTGTTGAAGGAAGAAGGGCTCAAATTGAATATTGACCATTTCAATAGTTGAGAAGAAAACAAGTTTCAACATTGAACAGTCGAGAAACAAACAAGGGTGTGGGTGTGAGTGTGGATGCGGGTGTGTGTGTGGGTGTGTGGGTGTGGGTGTGGGTGTGAGTGTGTGTGTGGATGTGAGTGTGGGTTTAGATGTGAGTATGAACAAAGAGACACCCACACCCACCCAAACCCACACCCGCACCCCACACGCCCACACCCCACACACCCACATCTACACACACCCACACACCCACACCCATAATAAACAACTTCCAGCGCTATGAGAAACATGAATTTTCGTGTTATTTAGAGCTGATCATTCCTTATGAATGAAAAGAAACATTATCTGCGATCGTTACATAACACTTTATCAGAGGTAGTGAACATTTTTTTTGTTAGGTGACTTAGTATACTTATTAACGTGGAATTGTAAATGTTTATCGTCAAAGAGCTCTCCTTCATTCTCTTTGACTGAATGAATCATTTTAAAATGAAAGAACGATAAAGAAGATCACGTAACCGAGCTACAGTCTTGTACCTACCACGCACAGCTATAAAAAAATGTCTTTTTTTTGTTATTCTCTTCATCGTAAGACAAATAAAAACGTGAGTATTAGTAAAAAATGCATCAACACACAATCCATTGCATGGAAATTCATAACGCACTGTTTTTTTTCGTACTCTTTTAAATATTTCTTTTCATTAAAATTAGTAACTGCATTCGATCATATCCAACAAAATATCTTGGAAAATAATTTCTAGGGTGGATGTGCGTGTGGCTGTGGATATGGCTAAAGATGAACGAGGTACCCACAGCCACAATCACAATTTTATATGATATAATGATTATTCATACAAGAAAACATCTATATAGGAATAGACAACACACTAACATAAAAAATGACTAGATCAAGCAAAATATTTAACAACATTTAAAGAGATAACGGAAAATTTATTTACAAAGTACGTGTAGTGTTTCCTTGGTTAAATGAAGCGACGAATGCTCGGCGAAATAATAATATATAATTCCAAATAGCCAATGCACATAACAAAAATGTTATTGTATAAATAAAAATACTTAAAAAGATATTTTTCTTTTGTTCTAGTGGAGGCAATATTGGATAATCCAGTAATGGATATTTCACTCGAATCTTTTCTTCTTCTTCATCTGCTTGTCGAATGATTTGTTTAATTTCGTTAGCATTATCACATTGTCTAATTTGATAAATAGCCTCGTTCCAACATTGGCATGCTACTTGTACTTGTGCGAATGATCGCTCCTCGTTCTCCATTTTAATATCGATCCATCGATTCCTCATTTCTGAATCTAGAAAAGGTTGATTTTCAAGATATAGGACGATTATCAATGTGTGAAAGAGAATTGGTGCGTCACGATAAAAAAAATAATCTTCTTGTTTAGCATGAAAAATATTGTATAGTAAACCTGCCCAAATATATATATGTGCAAACGAATAACATGGTGATATATAATAATCAAGCAAAACATATATAAAAATCATGTAAGCTATGTAAATTGTATAACGATTTATCCAAAACCAAAAAAGGCTCTCCCAGGTACAATGATGAGGTACATCGATGTATAATGAAACAAAATCATAATCTCGTTTCAATGTTTTATAACATTCGTTGTTTAACTGTATTTTTTCAATATAATACCAAGTAAGTAGGATGAGTATAATTTCAAACAAGACAACGGACCATAATTGTCTTCTTCCAGAGCGATTAATAAATCGGTAGAAAGCCGGCATTATTTTATCTACAAAATTTGCCAAGAAAAATGATAGATAGAATAAAGCATACTGAAAGAAAACGATTGCTGCAATCCCAGTGGGGTTAACATGAGAAATACGATGGAACTACTTACATTGTCAATTGAAAAATTTACCAACATATCTTTCGATTTGTCAATACTTACCCGCTGATGATGTAGGTCGCTGGTAAAACACGCTAATCAAAATGTGATACGGTGGATGTGAAAGAAGGACTAAGGAGAAGTATCTTGAACTCAACCATGTTTCACATAAACCCTGCAGGAGACTTCCATTTCGCGCGTATGTGTGTTACAAATCGTAAAGACAGAGGACAATACTAAGGTACCCATTACAGATCAAGACGCAACGAAAGCATTGCTAACTGTGTTGGTAACGGCTTATGATGTAAGGATCGAAGTGAGCTCGGAACTTCGTAAATTCATATTTTCGAGATCACTTTTCTTCTGACTACATTCGACTGCACTCTAAAAAAACAAGACGTATGAGGTGTATAGACAAGACGGTTCGTTCTCTAAAACAAAAGACTTCGTCTAAAGTATGATTGGTCGAGACATATAAAATTTAGATGGTTCAAGTGTCAACGGATGATCGATTTTAGACACGTGTGCGTCGTATTCTTTTCTTATTGGCGAGTCTATACCAATCAAGTAAGCGTCTAGCATCTGTCTTTTCCAGACACTTCAGCTAATCTACGACCTACTAATTCTAGAAATAAATACAATTAGGTATGAATAGCAGACATTAAGAAAAATACTTTTGATAAAACTTTTTATTTTTTTCATTTTCATAAATTTCACTTCTTTTCTAGCTCAACTCAATGCTTTGTCGAAATATATACAAAAACTTCTCTGAATTTTTTTCGGATATTGAGTTAAACTCGAAAAGGAGTAAAATTTATGAAAGTTAAAAAATTAAAAATAATTAGTTTTATCGAAAATTATTTTTTAATACCTGCTGTTCATGTCTAAGTGTATTTATTTCTAGAATTAGTAAGTCATAGACCAGCCGATGCGTCTGAGAAAAATAATGCTAGACAAGTTCATATATGGAAATTTAACACATGACTAGGAGAAGGGACTTTTTTGAAATTCAAAGAATAATGAACATGGTTTGTTTTATTTAAACCATAAACAAACATATCAATGTAGAGAAATGAAAAATATGAATTAATTTATTTCTATGAAGGAGAAAAAGATGAGAATTATGTTTTTTGTGTACTCAAAAAGTAAGTACACTATAGAATCGGTCAGTGTGGCCGTCCGGCCGTTTACACGATAACTTTTGAAAAGAGAGTCCGATCGTGATGAAATTTTCTACACAGTTTAGTCTTAACAATATCTCGGTCGAGTTCGAAGATG